CGGCATGGTAATGCCGCGCTCGAATTCCGCCCGACCGACAAGAGCCCCGGTGATAAACACCGGTCGTGTTTTGTGTCCGGGCCTGATGGTCTGACTGATCGGCGCCACTTTGCGGCCTTTTGTTGACAACGTTATTCGGCGGGACGTGACGCGAGCGCGGCGTTATGGCGCTCCATTATTCATCCCGTGCGCTCATTATTAGTTTGCAAACTTCGGCCCCGCTCGGCCCCGCCCGGCGCGCGCTCACCTCACCTCGCCCCGGCCCGGCCGGCCAGGTGGAGAGCTGCCTCTCCTGGGGCCCAAGAAAGACTTCTCGCGGGGCTCGGCCCCCGCCGGCCAGCGGCGGGTTAATCAATGCCGGTTCTTTTTTTTTTTCTTGCTTGTTCCGTCCTTTTTTTGTTTCATTGGCCAAAGCACATCATTATTGTACATTTCTTTTTCTATAAGGAAAGTGCGATATGGTTAATGTAGCTGTATGGTCACACAATTTACAAAAGATTTTATAATGAAAATTACGAAGAGTGTTGTAAATTTTTGAGAATTTTTTTTTCACGGTGTCTGTAGACGGTTGATTCTTGCCCAATCTGCAGTAAACTACCCTATTATCATTTTTTGGAAGGTGCGCGCGTGCGTGCGTTGAACAAATCTAACGCAGGCATTCTCTGGGATGAGGCGAAATGCCAAGAGCAAGAGCGAAGGGGGAAGTCTTCAGTGCCAAACAAGGCAGTCAGCCGCACTCCCTGCACCACCCCTCACCTCCCACCCCCTCTCTTACTCCCTGCTCCCTCTCCTCGCTTCACGCATTTTCACTTTCTTCGTTCGAAAGTTTTATGGCATGTAGTTGTGTGTGCGTGTGTGTTTTTACGGTGTTTTATTTCATTTTTTAGATTGGATTGCAAAGGGAAGAAAGGTACGCGGAAATGTGTGTGTGTGTTTGTGTGTGTGTGTGTGTGAGAGGGGGGGGGGGTAATAAGCGGAATGGCATGCCTTATCCATCCTGGCCGTGACAAGGGTGTGGCTCGGTGCGCCCGCGCGCGCGGGCGTCGCCATGGCAACATGTAGGTCACGGTGCGCCGCGCGGCACGCACACGGCCCTCGCGGAACGGCCTCAGCAGCCATTAGGAGGACAGATCTTTCACGTGCAGATACAGATAGCGGCTAGGTGCCTAATGACATCCCCGCACCACCCTCCTCTCCGCCTCGCACGCAATCACGCACTGACACACGCGCGCGCGCTCGCACCCCTCTCACTAACACACGCACGCACGCACGCACGCACGCACACATCGATCCATGACAACAGGATTCAATTGGAAGATAGGTACGACATGGGAACTGCCTATAGGAGTGGGCTTAAGAGAGGCTTAACATAATCGATCACAGACATGGATCGCGTTCTGCTGCGTCTGTCTCTGCTCTTACGCACTTTCGGATTCACTGTGTCGACTCCGTTACCCTGCCACGCTATCTTGAAAAGTACTTTGATTCGTACCCCCGCCTGTAAATGCACGGGACTGTGATTGGTGCAGTATTTCTGTTTTTGATTGTAGGGTTGTAACCAATCCGTCCTCAAGTGTCACATGTTACTCCCTATGTGCAGTAAAATCTTTGCTGTTTCACCCCACGCCGTCATCGTCTGGCAGTGTGTGTGTGTGTGTGTGTGTGTGTGTGTTTGCGCGTGTGTGTGTCCGTGTGTGTAAGACTGTGTTTGTACTGCGTTGCGTGCTGCATGCGTTGGCCCACATAACAGTCAATGCGCACCATACATCATGGGGTCGCAACGTCCCGCCCCGCCCCGCCTCTCGTAGGTCCACACACTGCTTCCCCCTCAAGCATGCAGCAGCCGGCAGCTCATCGACTCCTGCCTTTTCTGCTTTACATTCTCCACCCCGCCTTCCTCCCACCCTTTCTGCTTTACATTCTTTGAGCTGCCTTTCCCATCACATTCCTTTTTTTCTGCACTCGCGCATTTATTTCTTCGGACCTTTTTTCATCATTTCTTTCTTTTCCTCTGGTTCAAACTAGCTGTCATCCGCGTTTGTTTTTTGTGTTCTCTTTATGTTTTACTGCTTTCTTTTCTTCAGTCGACGTTGTCTAAGGTTTGGTGTTGAACCACAATATTGCAACGTAAAAGAAAAAAAATAAAGTATCACAATGTCGTTCCGTTAACAGTAAGACACACTCTTCTAATGCAAGTTCTGCAAGCAGACTATTAAGTCCTCCCATCGCGAAATCGTCAAGGTGGGAACGACATTAGAAGCGAGGAAATTCTCCGGTAAAGGCCTGCTGCAATTGAACGCCGCTCTTGGAGTGGAAGAGGGGGTGGGGCGGGTTTCTAATTAATTTAATGCGAATACTGCGGCAGCCAGCAGCCTCCCGCTGGTGCTGAGGCGCCGGGCCGCCGGGGTAGGGGCGTGGGGCACCAGAGGCACGCCAAGTTCCCACCTCATGTGTGATCACCGCCCCGCGCCCCATTGTCAGGCGGGGCGTGGTGGGGCGGGGCGGGGCGGGGTGGGGTGGGGTCGGGTGAGGCGGCGGGCGTGGTGCGGCGGCGCAGCTTCACCTGGGGTACTGATGCTCTGCTCCCCCGCCCCTCTGCGGTGCCGGTAGGCCGGGCCCGGCGGCGCGCTGCTCGCACTCGAGCACGCGGCGTTATTGAAATCCAAGTTTTGATGAGAAAGTTGCGTTCGCAAGCGGCGGCAGCAGCGACGCGCGCGGGTGGCGCGGTGTCTTGGGGGAGGCCGGTGCCACCGGCGCCAAGCGGGGACAGCCCCCGCCTCAGGACGCTCCCGTAGGTCCCGGATGCACGCACGCTCACGGACCTGTGTTCGACTTCTGTGAGGGTGTCATTTTCGTAAGGATCGTGTATTTCTCTAACATCTTTCTCGTGCTCTCTCTCTCTCTCTCTCTCTCTCTCTCTCTCTCTCTCTCTCTCTCTCTCTCTCTCTCTCTCTCTCTCTCTCTCGTTTCGCGCACCAAACGGGCTAACTGTTGGGCTTTTGCGCTGCCCTGAGAGAGGCGTTAGCCAGAGAGAGCCCCCAAATGCCATGCTCTTTTTTTTCCTATTGCCAGCAAAAAATTTTAGACAGAGAAATATTACGCTGTGGTCCGTAGCGCACGCCTCTGTGTGTCAGAGGGAGCGCGCGCGCGAGAGAGAGAGTTTGTGTGCGAAGCGATATCGTGCGTGACTCTGTACGCTTTGGTAAGGTTGGAGCGTGATGTGGGTGTAATAAGTTCTTAATGTTGCAAACAAAAAGAAGAAGGTGGGGTAGGGGGATGTTACAGGTTCTTGCAGAGCTGGGGGACGTTAGGCTAGACATGCGAGGTCCGTGAGTGTAAAAATAGAACTTAAGACAAAAAATTAAGAAGGTGTCCCTTTACTTACACCTCTCCCCTTCATTTTTCTCTCTAAAGGGCCCGGTTCAAGAAGAAAGTCGTGTATTTGTCATGTTACACCAAACTTGAGGTCTAAATCAATTTTGGTAGGTCAAATATTTAGATTTTTCAGGATCCGAAGTTTTCTTCGATTTCCAGGCTCCATTTATAGGCTTAAGTATGTTTGGTATGTACAATTATTTTTGATGTGCCTTACAGGTTATTTATCGGTTGCAAATGTAAAGTCATACAGGCGCACTGTACATCTGAAATGAGAATCATCATACAATTAGTTTGCGTGAAAGTGGGGTTGATGGTTGATTATTATTCTTTGTATCAGCAGCGGAAGTGACCCTTGTTCCTGCATTTTGAGGCCGATTTAAATTGCAGAGAGAGGCATTATGCCACCTTGTCTCGCCAGGTCTAAGTCCTTGTTCGCATTCCTTTCCTTTCTTCCTTTCCCTATCTCTCTCTCTTTTTCACTCTTTCTCTCTTTCTCTCAACCCCCTGAACCCTCGCCACTCGCCCCTTGGCCCAGCGTCTTTCTTGAGCTCAAATCATTCCAGCCACCGCCTGGCCTTAAAAGGACCCATTGAACCCCTCCTGACCATGTGCCCCCCCCCCTCCCCCCTCCCCGTCCACCCTGCTCTGCCCCAGCTGGCCGGCTGGCAGTGGCGGGCCCCGCTCGCGCGGGCGTCTTTTTCGACGTTCATTTACATAGACCGGCGAGTTTATTCGTGTAATTTACGACAAGCGCGTCTATTGTTCATTCTCTAGGCAGGTTCTTCTTTGTATGCAAAATGTTGCCGTAAATTACGATCTCGACGCCTCGCCATTCGTCCATTATGCGCGGCGATGGCTGTTATTGCTCGGGCTTTTCAGCGCGCGGTGTTGTGTTGTTGCAGAGCTGTGTGGTTTCCAGTCCTTTTCTGTTTTGGACTCATTTTTTTCCTCCCAGTGGACTCGGTCGTAACGATAGTGGATGCGAGTCCGGCGCGGGTCACGTGTGTCAGGCGCACGTGCGTCGGAAGAAAACAATATCGCGATGTGACTAAATCAGGACGCATGGCTGCGTAGCGCCCTACACACACACGGGGTCAGTGGTGCAATACAGCCGGCGCAAGCAGCCAGCTTATATACTTTGTCATTTTTTTCTATCCCGTCTGTAGTATAGGCTGTCGCGGCATGTCTCCCCCGCTTTACACCGGAAGTTGTCTGTGACTGCTGCAGTCTTAACCTTACATTCTTCTCTCTGTGCGTTTCAGTGCGGCCGCTGTCAGTGACGCTGCTCGGCGACAACCGGCCGTTCAGCGCCGAGAAGAACTATGAGGTGTCGTGCGAGGTGCTCGGAGCCCGACCGGTGCCGCAGATTACGTGGTGGAAGGGCAACACTCAGCTTCAAAATGCTAAAGAAGTGGTGAGTACAACTAGTAATCGCAGCGATATGAACGAAAGATATTCTGATTGAGGAAGGACTAGTATGTGACGATGTGTTTTACTCCTAAAACATGGTCATATTTGCCTTTGTGACACGCATGATTCTGGCCGAACAGATACACATTAAGAATAAAGTCGTCATCTATACTTATAAAAGATGTGGCGATCGCGTGACGAGTTATCTCCAATGCATCATAGTCAACTAGCCAAGTTACCGAAACTGAGGAAAAAGTAGTCTTTTGTCGGACCATGATTTTTTAAAAAGAAAAAAATAATGATTTAAGGTATGACGTGCTAGCAAAACAAAAGGTATCTGGTCATGTGTGACATACATCAGAGAAAGTGAGGTGCCAATTAAATATTATTTTAGCTTTGTTCTACAGTGGCAGTGGCATCCTTTGTCCTTTACCATTAGACGATGACAGCCACCGCTGATGAACAGGCACTCCTTATTAGATTGACTCGCGCCACAAGAGTCTCACACACACTTATGCGCCACCCAAGTGGCGTGGCACTGAAGATTCAACCTGATTACGAGCAGAGTGGAGCTCTGCTGTGGCCACTTTATGACCTCCTTTCCCTGTCGAGTATGTATGGGATGGTGTAGACGTGCGAAGACTGTGCTCTTTGACACCTGACTCCCAAGGAGACTTAGTAAAATATATCATCTACTGAAAACTACCCATATCCCAGAGGGCAGAGTTATTTCAATTTATTACTATTTCTCCAACGCCGCGCTCCTTTTCCTCGTCTCCGTAGCGGGGATGCTGGGGTAAGGGGGGTAGCTGTGGTGTCGCTGGGCCGAGGAGCAGGACCACTTTGTGCCAGCCTCTTCAACGCGCCCCAGCAGCCCAGTGGCCAGCGCGGTGGCCAGCGGCCCAGGGAGCAGGAGACTGTGTAAATATTTATCCACGCCGCAGAATGAGAGAGGCTTAGACACTTCGCTGCAGGCCGAAACCGAACCGGCTTCACTCTGTTCTGTTACGCGGAGGTAGGTGCTGGGCCAAACGGGATGCATTTAAGAAGAATGTGGTTCAATGCGTAGGCTTGGTCTTGGTGTGTTATGTTTGGGTTTATGTAAGTGTCGGCGTGTGTGTAGGGTGGGAAAAGGGGAGGGGGCGTTGTGTCTGCTAATAAAACGAAAGCATAAAAAGCGTTAGTTTTTATGAGAGAAACTTAGGAAGTTCACAAATTCGCTACACAGTACCTGTTTTCGAATACATAAAAGAAGTCGCTGTAAATGCCAATAACTTACCTCTCTTACCTAACTACTATAGATATACTATCTTCTTAATTTCTGGGACAAAGCCAAAGTACGTAGCGAATAGTCAGCATCTTATTTTCGCGTATGTTGCACCAGATTTGTAGCGGATGTTTCATGGAGCTTGTCTGAGCGTGTCTGCTTAGTGCTTAGTTTCCATACTCCGGACGGCTGTCGTCCCGGTGGGTTACTCTGGCCACTATGGCCTCAACACGATGACCCCTTCCCTTAGAGATCTCATTAGTACCTTTGTGTCCCGCCTCCTACTGCCCTGCGCACCGCATGCTGCTCAGCCCCAGCCTGATAAATATTGACGTATCCCTTAATCGCGTTGATTGGGGACACAAGCCGGTTGGGATGGGGAGGGCCTGGCTCGGAGCGTACCTGCTTGTTTCAACCCCACAGCGACGACTGCCGCCAGGATAATCAGACCACCATCGCTTCCAGGTTCGCTCGTGGCTAAAAACACTGCTGTTATGTACCTTACAGCAAAATTGCCTCGAAAATTGCTCTGATTTAAAGAAAAAAACGTTTCGAAAACTGTTAAAGCTGTTACTTCCAAGTCCTTACCTTCACTATGAAAAATATGAAATTTACTATATTTTCTGAGGAAATAATCATGTATCAGGTGCTTCAGAGAAGACGCAGGTGCGGGCGGGTTTGCCTAGTCGCTATCCGTTATGCGCCATGGCCCCTTAGGTAGGCAAACCCGCCCCCACCTGCGTAATCTTCTCTGAGTCACCAAGTTCTTTAATAAACGGCTGTTAACTTCGATTAACATCAGACACTCCCTCATCTTCAAAGAATTTTGAAAATCAACAATTTCAGATCTTAAATTTACAAATTTTTTTTGGCAGAAAGTTTTTGTGTAAACCTTACAGATATTTTTGCAAAACTTGTGTTATACCAGTGTTGTCTACGCAAAACTGTGTAATAATAAGCAATATTTCTCTCAATAAGAAAATACGAAGCAATCAATTTGGTTCAACCTTATTAAATTAAGTGCTGGAATCACGGAATTGGTTGACAAATGTTGCTCTGTTGTGGTTGAATGTCGGGAGTTGGGGCGTTCAGGTTGACCCACAGCCTCACGCCCCGGCCGCGCCTGAGCCCGGGCTTGGCTACAATGCGGCCTCGTGAGGCTTCGTCACCGCTCAGCTTTTTGAGGCTCTCATTGTGAGGCATTGTGGCAGCCACGCCGAGCAGCGTGCTGCCAACAGCCAAGCTGAAGCGAAAAAAGAATACCATCAGTATAAACACAGTTGAGTACAAGAGATGCACTTTCTTCTGTGTCTGGCTTTTCTTGGGACTTCCCGGTCGTATATCTTAATTTCCTGTGTATTTAACAGCATATTTTAGAGTATGCAATTTGCCTTTCTTGTCAATGTCTCGGATTTAAAAATGAAATATGTCGCTTATTGCCTGTTCACTTTTTATTCTGCGAGATATCGAGGTGATGCAGATGACTTCTGCACAAATTCACCAAATTTCTCAAGGAACAGAACGGCGATCTCACCTCTCTCCGTTTGCATATATCCCACGCCACTATCGAGCTGCGCTAGCCGAGTGTTAATGGCGGTAGCTCAGCTTCGGGCCGCTGGGCCGCTGCTGACGAGAGGATGCTGTAAGGGATGCTGACAGGTTAATGCCTCGACGTCCGAAAACACTCGGTGCCCTAGTGTGCTGCGCTGCTAATCGAATAATCGGATAAGGCGCCCCGGATGCGACCCCAGTTAGGAAGTGTGTGTGTGT